ACTTAATCAATCCTTTTTCACTGCATAATTTTGGCATCAGGAAATTTGGGTTGTGACCTGAAATCTTCATTTGTTCTGAGATTTTTTAGGTATACATAAGGGGATGGCTGGTTTTATGAGACCATATCTACCTTTTGACCCCTTATTGCAAACTGTCAGCAGCATACACCTGTCATTTCATAAATCAAGAAACCATTTTCCAATTAAGATGAATGATTTATTTTCAAAGCACAGGATCTTGTCTTGTATTGATTTCAATTTTAACATACTTGTGCCCCTGTACATTAATAGCCATGCATATTTGGCCATTACAAAACAAAAACTTGTTTGGAATCATGTCCAAAAGATGCTAAAGGAAAGAAAATTATTTTTATTTTTACCCTTCCCCAGCCTTCCCCCGCATCACTTTGGCAGAGATTTTTCAAACAAACTGAAAGAGTTAAAGTTGCCTTTAAGAAAAAGAGCTATTTTGTTTGTTGGAAATTTTTTTCAATATATATGAAGTACAACATTGCATAGTTAATTATACATAGTGTAACAGCTTTTCAGAAACTTGATAATAAACCAATTTATAATAAAACTTCATAATAACCAATTTATGTATATGTATTATGTTTTTTGCAATGAAAATGGTTAATGTTTTGTTTAGTATAATGCTGTTTTATGAATCATATCACAATAACAATCACTGCTTCTTTTGTTCATTTGTGATTTTAAGTTTTTTTCTTAATGCCTTTTCTTTCTTTTCAATCTTTTTGGTCATCCTGTGCTCTTCAATCATATGTTTGGCATGTGAATGAGCCCTGATTTTTATGTACATTAGGATGCAGTCTTTCAGTGTTGCCTCTTTTACAGGTTCTGAGGCCAAACAATTTTGGCATACTCTACTCAAATTACTCAAAATTGCATCTTCTAGTAGACAGTTGCCCAGAATCTCTTGCACATTTATCCTTGTTTTCTGGGTGGAGATGTGGTCTCGGAAAACAAGCTCTGTTTTTTCTAGTATTTTTGCAAAAGATTCCTTGGGGTATGTCAAACCTCCCCTAGTTAGAGTGCTTATAAGTCTGGTTGAGCCTTCTTGCTTCCCCTCTTCTCCCTTACAAGCATTTAAGACTTCCAATCGTTCTTTTAACAAAACATATGAAGTTTTATTTTCCTCAACTTTACGCATGTTGTCATAGGTTTTTTTTGTGAGCTTATTAAGGATTGCACCACAAATATATGTTACTACTTCTTTTTCATTGCTGGATAAAATTTGTTTCTCTACCTCCTTGTCTTCTGTTATTGCATAGTTTTTCTTTGCAATTACTTCTTGACATTCAAAAATAAGCCAGGAGGAGAATCCTTGTTCAATTTCAAGACAATCTTGTAGTTGAGTAACAATTTCATTGTCTGTCCATATTTGATGGAACTTTTGCCACATTTTGTCAAGGGAAACTGCCTTTCCTGCTACTGTATCCTCAAGGCGTTTGCTAAGAAAGTCTAAATTTGGAGAAGGTGCATCAAGAAGGCGTTTGATTGTGGCACTATATAGTTGTTGAAGCATCTCTTTTTCAGACATAGCCTTCAATGCCTCTTTATAAACTGAACTGATGTTGATATTTTGAAGATGACCTGCGTTTGGTTTGGGCTCTGTCTGTCTTTTTCTTTTCTTTTTCATTTGACTTTTTCCAATAATCAATTGCGTGTTTTTGTCACTGCAAAATGCCACAGTTACTTCCTGTAATCAAAGCAAATAATTATAGTGTCTACTTATGTAACATCAACTAGTTAGTATGATAAAGTATATATCAATGGTATTTATAATGGGCTGGGGAAAAAAGCAAATACTTCCTTGATGGAATTTATTATAGAAGCCAAGTTAAAATAAAATTCAAGAGATGATGCCATTGTTATTTTGGAGACAAAATGAAACTATGCTCAAGCACTAGTATATCAATATGTAAATGCTTACTACTTGAAATGACAGAATCACTTTTTTGCGAAAAAACCCTCTTCATCACAACTACCGGTCCCGTTCCATGTTATATATTTGTTGTATCCTTTTCCATATTTTTGCTTCAGAGGGAGAAACTAATGATTAGTTCTCTTTTTTAATCAGGTATTGCTTAATATCGTATGTTACCTTGCTATCTTGCAGCTTTTATACGATCGACGATATACGGGTAGTTCTGCGGCAACGAAAAAGTTTTGGATAAAGTTTTAGAAGCCGGTTAGGCCACCATATGAGACGGCTTGCCGATCCATTCTACGCATTGAGATTGGTTTACTGAAAATTAAATTGTGGAAATAAACACAATTTACCTCTGCCGCTACCTCTAAGTCTTCTAAGTTGATGTCGTCTGAAAAATATTCAAATTCCATCTTTTTGAAGTTCAACGTCGAGAGATCTTGCCACTAAAAAGCGCAACCGGAAATGACCATAGCCCTCAAGTTGAAATTTTAGACCGCGCGCATCATTTTGATAAGAACCTATTGTTCTCCAGCTTAGTTTCCTATCCAGTCACACTTCCATTATCTTTGCTCTGATCATTGTTGCAGCCACCTTTTTTCTCACGAATACGAGATTGCGAGCCAATTCGAGATTAATGTTTAGACACCGTGCGCCATATTTATCATAAGACGTTGGTTACACTTCTTTTTATTGTACAAAAAAGACCAGAAATGATCGAGGTTACATGTAACGATCGTCTTGGGAAAAAAGTGAGAGTGAAGTGCAAGTATCCTTTTCTGTGGTTTTAATTGAACGAACTTCCCTGACTTGTGAAACATTCTCTGTTCTTGGCAATTTTTTATCTACATTTTTTTTTTTATAAGAACAATTTTATCAAAACACGAGCCTCAAAACTGGTCAAAAGTTAAGAACAAAGTGAGAACAAGCTGAGGCTGAGCTTCTGCAAAATGCAATTTTGAACAACGTTTTTTCTCAAAATCGAGGATTTTTAGCGATGTGTGGTTGCTTTTTCGGTGAATATTCAAATTTGTCAGCAAATTAAGGCTGTCTCACTCACTTTGTTGGCAAATAAGGCCTGAACACCTCATTAGATCGAAAAAGCTAGCAATAGCACTGCTTACACCCTCTTAATTTAAGAACAAATTAAGAACAATCCAGCCTCAGATTTTCGAAAAAATTAAGAACAGTCAGCCTGAACTGAAATTCACTGGTTCTTATAAAAAAAAGTGTAACTTCAATTCTTCACATTTATTTGCTAAAATTCAGTGGATTGGATCCCAAAAAATAGATCATAGTCTACATGACATAGAAGTAGAATCTTTATGTTGAATTTGTCTGTGCCAAAGGTTTTATGCTGTTTGCTGTTTGGCCTGTCAGACAGCGAATTACCCCATTTTCAAAATTTAGTTTTTCTATATACATTTCAATGGGATTTGTTGAATGTTATCACTACAGCAGCAAATTCCAGTCAAATCTAAAGAAATTTCTAAATATTCAAATTAAAGTAACTTGCAACTGTCATGAAGTTTTTAGTATAAAGCTACTCCAAGATGAATATTTCAAGTCTAAAATAAGATGATTTAATGTATATCATATTTAAGTATATATAAAGGCATCACTGCTTGCAGCTCGAATCCATCCAGCAGAGTCACAGCTGGTCTTCTGTCATTCTCTGTATTCTAATTGCCTTCTTTACTTTCTTACAGTCTTATGTCCTTTTTATTGTTTCCTTCTATCCATACACAGTTCATTTGTTTTCCTGAATTATTTCCCGTATCTTCCACTAAGTGCCTTGCTTGTCCCCACTTGTTATAGGAATAAATATTTCTTTCAAATTCAAGCCCTTTTTATGCTTTATCTTTCTATTATCTTATCATTTTCTTTCGAATTTTCTTTCAGTTTCTCATTGATATTTAATTCTACTTCTTTTTCCTTTCTTTTATAAAGCTAGGATTTTGAATAACTTCTAATTTGATCCCTATCTCTCCTGTCCTCCTCTCTTTCTTTAGCATCCCCACCTTGTGTTTTTTAGTTTTCTGTTTCTTTTGTTTTTCCTCATTCGATGTATTAGGCTCTGTATACCATTATTCTCTGATACAAAATCATTGACTTCTTAACCAACTGAACTGCCTTGATGATATTTGCCTTGACTTGAAAAGTGCAGATGACACTGTTGGGGATTTGAAATTATTAATTGCAGCACAGACTGGTACAAGACCAGAAAGAATTGTTCTCAAGAAATGGTACAGATTTTGTCATGCATATTCAGTTGTTTTCTTAAATATATATTACTTAGTATAGAAATTTTAGTTTAGTTGCATCCATTGATATTGTTGAACAGACAAGTAACATTTCAAGACATTTCAAGTAAAATTTCAAGACATAAGAACATTTAGTCAGACATTACCCACCCATTTCTCTTTATCATCAGTGCCGATATGAAAGAGCAGTCCTGGTTATATGAAAATTTTTTATCATACTAGTAATTGCACTCCCTGAAAAGTAGAGGGGTGCCATCCATGAAACACAGACTTTTAGTATAATATAGCATATATTTCAAGGGGTCTATCACTGTTTGACAAAGTGTATGAGGCTATTATAAAGCAAATAATTTTTACTGAATTTTAAAAGAAGTTTCTTGAAAAGACAGTACTGTATTTTGCCATGTATATGACACATCTTTGCATAAGACACATCTTTAATTCCATCTTTGAATTCTGAAAATAGTTTTTACCATTTCTTACCATGTATAAGCACACCCCCTGCTCTCAGTTTTTGTAAAGCATGTATCTTTCAGTTAAAGAATAAACTATTGACACTAAATCTATTGACAAATTATATACTATTGACCTTAATATAATATTATTATATACTATTGACTATTGACACTAAATATTTACACTAAATCTGTGGAGGAAAATTCGCTCAAACTGCAATGTTTGAAGTAGAAAGTTTACCATCATAAAATAATCAAAATCATCATTAACGATTACAGGTTTGAAAATCCATAAGATTCTTGTTTGTCATCTGTTCCATCCACAACTGACAGGGGTGTGCCTTCCAATTAAGAGAATGCAGGGTACAACCCTTCCATTTTGGAGTAAAAAAGCTTTTGTCAGATAATTTTTCTATCCCGGCTGGAGAATCTGGAAGTTTTTACTAAATTTTCAATAAAAGTCCGGTTATTCAATTGGGAAAACTGGTGCTCCAAATATCATATGATTTTGTCTATGAAATTAAACTTTGCCTTGAAAGGAAATGATAGGAGAGTCAATGTTACCATTGTATAAAACGCACCCTCAAACAACAACAATTCAAAAGAAAGGTGTACATTATGCATGGCAAAATATGATATTTAAATAAAAAGCATATATCAAGTTTTATTGGCTCTGTTGCAATGGCTGCATATTGTTTTGAGAAAGGATTTGATCCCAGAATTTGAAAAGTAATTTGATCCCAGACTGTATTCATTTGAAAATGCTGTTTAATGTGGAACCATTTGAAAATAGAGTCATTTGAAAACTGATAGTTTTATTGGGAACAGCAGAAACTGTGGCATTTGAAAGTAGAGTCATTCATTCTTAGTTTCAAAAAGGGCTCAAATAAAGGATATGATGACAGATCAAAATGGAGTAATGGAAATACCTTTGTTTTTATTTTGACCAAAATGAAGTTGCCTGGAGTAATTGGAACAGTTAAAAAAATAATGAAAGTGGAATGACTTGTAAAAAGATCTAGCAAAGACAGAGTAACGGAAAAAGGCCTTAAAGATTGATTATGCTCCCCACATCTACTTCAGACAATATTAACAAGAATTTAAAAAAAACCCATAGACATAAAGAATAGTTAGTCAAAGCATGACACAGTGCAATATAAAACAATCCAAAACATTTGCATGCCTAATATTACCAGGAAGGAAAAGTGTGGCTATCATGGAAATCAGAAGCCTTAAACAGATTTCCTTATCAGTTGCAACTAGTGGATTGTTACAAAATGAAGCTTTTCTTGGAAGATGAGGGTAAATTTGAATATATGTTTTATTGCAATTGATGTGTAATACTCAGTTTTTAACTTCAAGTTAATTGCCAATGTTCTGTTTTAAGCATTTTGCAACTCAATTCTGCAAGCCTGGAATTGTTATGTCTGGAAGGATTTTATTTGACTTCATGTTTGCAAACCTTTTCCAGGTACACTATCTTCAAAGATCATATCACCCTCAGGGACTGTATCTTTTCATCAAGAATTTGTTTGGTCAATGCCAACATGTGCATGACGTAAACTTACTTTATAAGGTGGTTTTCTTCTCAATTATTGCACAAGAGTTCATTTTTCTATTCAAAATCTCTTATAATCTTAAAGGTGATAAGATCTGTTTATTAGGTAATACCGAGCAGTTGGAATAGATTGTGTAAGATTTCTGTTTTAACCATGTTAATGGAAAACAACTGGATTAGAAACTATGAGGAACTATTTTACATTTGTGAAAGATAACAAATGTTGCTTGAAATTATAGCTAAATTAAGATACCTAATTTTCTCCAAATTTCAATATTGCCTGACATTATCTCTAAATGTTTTTGTCATATTGTAATTCAAATTAGATAAATTTGTTACACAATTTGGAAACAAGCTATAGTTTCACAATGAACAAAAAAATGTCACCTTGTGGTCCTTTCACACGAAGTGTGGATACGCCTTGTTGATATTTCACAATAGTTGATTTCTATCAGAATAACCTCAGGGCAACAATTCTTAACATAATAACAGTATAGATTATATGGAGCACAGAAAAGGCTTTGTAAAAAGTTAGCATAATGTCCCATTTTTGAAAATTTGGGTGTCTGTAACAGGTCCTTTTTTAACCTTTTGCGGCATGGAATTTTATTGCAGGGGTCTGTAAGACCTGAAAAGTTCACTTTTATTTTCATTGACCCCTGAAACAGATGAAATAAATGATGGAATGAATCTTGAGCTTTATTACAAATAGGACAACCGCTCAGATCAACTCACCTTTGATAACTGGTGGATTTAGAAGATTTGCAGAGCTGTATGCTTATTGTATTCAACCTTGGACTTCAAGACTCATTGCCAACCTATGTGCACAAAAATGAACATCTAAACATATTGTAGGTGCTTGTTAAGTAAACAAATGGATGTTCTTTTCTCAAATATTTCCATCTTATAAATAAGTCCTGGTTTGAATCATGAAAAATATTTCCATCTGAATGTAAATTTGGTATTTTCTACTTTTTGTTACCTTTGTTTTACTTTTTACAACTAATTTTTTTGCTTCAAAATTATGGATTATGGAAAAATTTTAAATATGCAGTTGTTTTTATAATATTTGACAGCTTGTTTGAGATTATACATATGTTACCTGGATTTATTAAGATTAATGATATTGCCTGTCATCGAAGATGCAAATGTTTTGTATAACTTTCTTTTTAACTTCTTCATTTCTTATTTTAAAATGTATATTAAAGCAATTTTATTTGGACATTTAAGGAATTATTATCATTTTTGTTGAAATAATTATTTTGATATACGATAGTTTTGAATAAAGGGCCTTTCATAT